TCGTGATAAAGCCGACATTTTTTGGATCTTATAATCGGCAACATGTGCTAGGCACAGAGGACTACTTATTACTGACTGTGAATCTGTAAGAAAAAATATCAAAGATATCTGAAGACTCAAGAATTTTGACGGATTATTATTTAAAATTAAAAAAAAACTTATTCAATGATAATGCAAAGAAAATACTTTCGTAAATGTTGTAATAATAATACTTAAGGTTACAGTGAAATCTAGACGTGGGCTGTTAGTCAGGAAGTTGGCAGACTTTCTAAACAATGCGCGGATTAAAATAAGTAGGTACTAGAGCTTCGCACTTACCTACTAAGATGAAACTTGTACAAAGGAAAAGTTGGAAAATGTCGGGCATTGAAGTCCTGTTAAACATTTTTGTCCCACAAGATTGTGGATTTATAGAGACTATAAAATTTATAAAAATCCAGTGCCGCTACAACGTTTTAAGGCCTCAGATTTCTGTGATCATTCTTCTCACACACACACCGTCGGTTTCTTGGGTCTAAGGCATGCCGATTTTCTCACTATGTTTTCCTAACGAGCGAGTATTTAACTCGTACGGTAAATTCCTTACGCTATATTATTCCGGTATCCTTTTTGGCGCACAGCCGGGGTTCGAACCTACGAACTCAGGGAGAAGAGTTGTACGCTGTACCCACTAGGCCAACACTGCTCTGAGACTACGTAAAATAATACTTAAGATAGGATATGGTCTAAACCTGAGACAAGGTATTGCCAAAGCGGATAATGAAAAACAAATGTACTGAGAAACTTACAGAATGTTAGTAACTTATTCCGAACAACTTTAAAACATTAAGCATTCATAAAGCCACAATATTAATGCGTATTAATTCATTAGCCCGTAACCGGACATACGAAATAGTTGTTATGGCAGAAATGCGTCGTGAAACAAAAACAGGCCATCTCAAAATTCACAGAAAGACAAAAGCGAATCGATTTTCTCGTGACTTACACAAATTTTAACTTTCTACTTATAACTCAAGCAATTTAAGTATAATATTGTTATAAAACGATGCCTTGTGACAGAATTATTACAAATATGCTATATGTTAGCACATGAGATGAGATTTCATATTCAATATATGTACCAAATTGAAGCATTAGTTCACCTAGTTTCTAATATAGGAAACAACATATAGCATTGTTTTACACTTTAATAAAGGTAATATACGAAGAGTTGAATATGTTGTTTATAATTTTATTTTTTATTATTATTTCTATACAAGTACTTAGGTACTGGAAAGTTTATAAACGCTAATGACATATTTCTTTACAATACTCTTGGCAAATATCGTGACAATGGTTTACTTAAGCCGTTCGTGATCACGATTGTGCTGTAAAAAGACAGAATTTCTTTTAAAAGATAAATAATTAAGAAAACTAATTAACTAGTATTTGCATATTGTAATTGTGTAAATAAATCACGATAATATTTACCGTTTAGCACAGGAAAACAATCATTGGAACAAAAACTAAAGAGTCAGATAATCCAATCAAGGCTATGTATGAAGATTTTTTTTAACTAAATGTCTAATGACATTCAAGTTTAGTATATCTGGTATGTTTATATGATCGTACTGGCGTACAAAATAAACTAGGCATCAATTTCATTTAAATTACATTCATCAATTTTGTAATGGTTCCCATATTATTACAAGATACGCACAAAGTCACTGTTGTTTAATACCTAATATCTTTGAAACACTTAAATGATTTCGAAATACTTATATAACCTAATAAATCCCGTCTTGCTATACATTATAAAAGGCCAATAATATCAGGAAATCGTTAGTGGTAGGTCTCGTTATATTGAATTATGCAGGCACCATCGCGTGTCGTTATATTATCGTAGTCCCAAGAATTGTCTATTATTAACGTGTTTGAATTTTCTTTGATTAGATAAGCGATAGATTTAAATTTTTTTCTATACAATTGTGGTTGTCAATAGTTTTTCAAATAAGTAAAAAAAAGAATTTCTAAGTAAGAAACTAACAAATTTATTGATTGCTTATTCTGCTGCAGCCGGGAGAGATAATGCACACACTCTCTCTGCTTAGTCTATTCAAAGAAAGCACTTTTAAGACAGGACTTATGAAGTGTTCTAGATATAGCTAGAATATTATACTAGAATTGGTATCAAATTATACCCTTAATAATTGTTTGATGAGCCAAGAGCTCGACCCTTTGTACTTCGGCATTGCTCGAGTCAGCAGATGAATGGAATCCCGTGTCTGCCACCTATCTGGACTACAATCTGAAACTCTTCAAGAAAACAGTGCGACTTACATCTAATTGTCTACCTCGCTTCAGTGAATATTTTTTTTCGAGAACCTAATCTAAACAATAAGTTTCTTTTTAACAATAAGTTTTGAGTAAATTGCGTTTGTAAGGTGTTTTGATAGCAAATTAATGACAGACAATGTAAGACCTTCTTGCAAATTTTCACACTATAATGTGTTAATGCTAGACAATCGTGGAGTCTTCATTCTTAAAAATTGTTCACGGTAACATTAAAGAATTGCTCACTTCATGGTATTTAATGCGAGTAGCATTATCCGAGATTTTGTTAGGAGAGAGGACTTATTGGACAAAACATTTTCGGCCTCAAAAACTAATCAGCGATACTGTATATTCACGACGGCTCTTCAAGATTAATGTCGTTTTTGTGGTCCGTATTTTAAATCATCAATCATTGTAGTAAGTAGACTTTTATTAACGCAAATATCTAATTACCATTCTAAAGCAACGACATACTACTAATATTAAACACGATTTATCACTTATTCTATAACAACTGACCTGACGTTTCGAGTTCTTTGCGACAACCATGGTCACGGTTTGATATAAACTTGTAAATAATATCGTCCTTTTGAAGTTCTTAACGTTGCAATTTAAAACAACTGTTTAAAGTTATGTTGATTTTTACAAATCAAGTGTTGTGAAACACCAAATACGATGAACCATATAATTTTTTGAATACATAATGAGAACAGAATTGGCACTCAATTATAATGACAGTGTAATTAATCGCTGTCTCAATGAATTAATAAACTTGTCGAGATAGATAACGTCCTACGCACGCCTGACTCTAATTGGTTCTTCATGTTAAATATTTCCTGGAAAAAACTCACATCTAAGGAGACAACTTTTTTGCTTTTCAAATGTAATCTATATAATATCTTTGTCTTAGTGAGGCACGTGGCATAAAGACAATGGGTTCCATTCCCAACAAAACGATCTCATCACGAGTTTCAGGCGCTTATTCTCTTGTATAAAAATTACAGTGAAACAAATACAGGAATTCGTCTGCTCACGGGACAATCTATAACGTATATCTATACCTATTTGAACCACTGCAATAAACTATATTTAGTTTTGCGCTTATATTGGGACTTGATGTCGTGAATTCTACGGTTTGATATAGATGGGTTTGTGTATAAACTCAGATTGTATAGTTATATAGAGTACCTATATGTATATAACAATCTGTGTTTATACACATTGATATCGATTCCTTTTATTATCACTATAATGGAAAATATACCATATATTTAGCATAAATATGTCTTTATAAGAAAGGGCCTAGGTTGGATGTTACAGCTATGTAATACTTTTCCAGGTGCTAATTGCATTTGACGTCTAAAACTCCATACAATGTTTATACACGGGTTCAATCGTACTTTAATTCCTACAAGTTCCAATGCCAAGAGAATGTATACAAATGATTTGGCAAATGACACAGGTGCCGTCGAAAAATAATTTGGACCGTGAACTTGGATTGATCGCCAGTTCTATTACATTTGTCCGCGTATTATATTAAATGTAAATTAGAATCAACAATTACATTAAATTACATCAAAATTAGAGCATTTGTCAATGGGCTAGTGAAAACGTAAAATACCTTGAGATTCCAAGACAAGGCGAAAGACAATGTGTTTTTCAAGGCAATTTATCTTGTGACCTCATCAAATTCGGGCATCTTGGTCATTTATATTTTTTGTTGTATGAAAACCTGTTCTATCAGTGCCCATCTAAGTAGAACTATGTATTATATTCATGACGACACGCAGTAAATAGGATTATAGGACAAATACCATACGGTATCGCTTTACAAGTTCATGTCACATACACCTGGCAGTTAATTGGTAATAAAAAAAAATAACGCAGAGCGATTGCGCTGAATTAGTAACCAGATACCATTATTTACCACCAATTTCTATAAATACCTTAAAATTTGTTTTATTGCCTTACTATATTCAATCGTGTTTTTTAAGGCTCATTTATCACAATACATAAAATATCAGTGTAGCTTTAATGTTGTTTCAAAAGCAAATCCTACGAGGTCTTTTTCGTATTACTTAATTTGAAAATATGATTTGTTCGCCATTTATAAGACATGTGATGTGGTAATGTAAAAAAAAAAAAAAGTATTTAATATACTATATCATTAGCACGCTCGTTTAATAACTGAGTCGGAGTTTGAATTATAAAACAAATGTAGCATTTGAAGATGTACACGAAATAATAAACGGAATATTCAGTGTCAAATAGTTTTTGTAATATAACATGTTCGCTTTATTAAAAAAATATACACTTCTACACTTTTATTCTTAGAGTATGGGAGGTTAAAATCGCAAGCTAAAATTATATTACATAACACAACTAACAGTAAAGTGTCAATGCCATAAAATATTTTTTATAAATGGAAAAGTTTACGGTACTATATACAATAGTTATTAACAACGTGAAAAAATATATTTGCACGTGTTCGAGCTCAGTTTCTTTCATACTAAGTTCCTAACTGTTCATATGAGACTACATAATCCCAAGTCTACATACATAAGTATGCATTAAGCACTGTTTCTGCAAAGTGATTTCAGCCAATTTAGAATAGATAAAATGATATTATAACCATATAATGGATAGTGCAGTTCCGGTCCGTACTGAATACAATGGAACCGTTTCAAATGTATGTACAATTATTATATGTAGTTGGTTTGTTCTGGAATTTGTTTATAAAAGACAAGCATCGTAATTTATTGTTATCTTGGGTTAATTATAGTTATTCATCGTAATAAATAGTTTTGCCAAGGTCGATTTTTTCGCAGTAGTTAAATAATATATATTTGTCTCGTTTTTGACTATTACGTAAATAATTTAAATATTACTTGCGTTGGTGTACCTAATGAATTGAATCTCAGCTATTACCAACGGATTTAAATTTTTATTTCAATGTGCGCCATTATCACTTGAGCGTACAGTGAAGGAAACGACTTACCATAGACCTAAAAGTTTGTAGTATAGTAACCTGTTTTTTTTAAACGTTTTTTAATTTTATGAAAAAAACGTATGAGAATGAAAGTATAAAATCATAATATTTCGTGATTCACTAATGTAAGGTGTGTGAGTGAATTATATTTTTATGCTCTAAATTCAAAATCAAAAACAACGAAGCAGATATGCGTAGTCAACAAACCGATCTTAGCGAAGACGGTTGGGACTCGAATCGATCTGTATAAAATAAGAACCATAGATAACAGATAATCTAGAAATTTTATTTATGTTACAGGAACACACTATACAACTGCTGAAGATTTCGGCTAGAACATATTTTAATTTTATAAAAAAAGTATGAGAATGAAAGTATAAAATCATAATATTTCGTGATTCACTAATGTAAGGTGTGTGAGTGAATTATATTATATTTTTGTGCGCCAAATTAAAATCAAAAACAATAAAGCAGATATGCGTAGTCAACAAACCGATCTTAGCGAAGACGGTTGGGACACGAATCGATATGTATAATTTTTTTTTTTTTTATTTTTTTTTTTATTTTTTTTTTTTTTTTTTTTTCTCTATTTTTATTTTATAAAATAAGAACCATAGACAACAAATAATCTAGAAATTTTATTTATGTTACAGGAACACACTATACAACTGCTGAAGATTTCGGCTACGATGGATCAATAGGTAAATATTAGGTTTTACCATTGTTTTCTTATATACCATAGATCTACATCTACTACTTACTACTAGTGGAAGCAATCTTGAGCATTATAAAAATGTCAGTAAGTAGTTTTAAGAGGTTAAAACTAGAAGTAATTTTTGGAGAGTTCCATACACACGTATTCAGTTGAGATTTCTTGTTCCTTTCATCAGATCACATACTTTATTAATACTTTTAAATGCAAATGATACTTTCTACATAGAATAATTTGTCGATCTCATTCCGGTAACTCCTGATATTGGCAGCCGAAAGCTTTCCCCTGATCGTCCACAAGCTACCTTCTACTGCTCTTAAGGAAGATTCTATGTTTACCGCCCGCACCGTTCTGGCGACGTAAAATCGTACATCCAAGAAGTTGGGATCCATCGTTTAGATTGGCCAGCTCGAAGTCCTGACCTCAATCCAATTGAGCATGTCTGGGATGTTCCAAAAAAACGAATATCATAATCAGTGCAACCTGCTCCACAAAACATCAGGGAGCTAAAAAAGAGTAATTAAAACTTTATCAAAAACATCGTGAATAGCATGATTCAAGGGTCTGTAATTTTGACAAGAGGAGATCACACTTGTTATTAGGTTCTTACTTACTTTTAACTTTATTTAACTTGAAAAAATCGCGTCTGTTGCTAACCACTTCATATTATTTGGCTGTCTACAGCGGTTTTAAATAATTCAACTAAAATTTATAAAAACATTGCCAGAATTAACTTCACACGTATTAATTTACGCGATTATTATTTATACAGATTACGTCAGATAATTACATTTAATTTAATTAACTGAAATAGACCTTTTTTGCAAAAGAATTTGTTTGACCCAAGAATACAATTTGAAGATACACACACGTATAAAAGTTTTGGACATTATTCATTCGCTTTTTGATAGAAGCACTTATAAAGCCACATCTCCAACAAACAAATTATGTTTTATTTGTTTTAGGCCCGACCTATTGGGGTGAGCGGTACCAGGAGTGCAGAGGCAAGCATCAGAGCCCCATAAATATTAACGTGCTTCGCGTGAAACAAGTGGCTCTTCCTGACATCACGTTTATAGGCTTTGATGACCCCATTGACAATGTACACGTCACTAACAATGGACATACAGGTGAGGTCAATGTCCCGAATTTTAAATAACTTTGTGTGTTCTAGCTTTCTGCGTCTGGTGTCACCCTCGGGTGTATAACGTCTGTCCTAGGTGATTTGGATTAAGTAGACACGTAGATTAAATTTTTGATTCTGGGGTAATAAGCTTTTTGGATTTCAAGGAGCGGGGACCATAATGGGTCCACGAAAACCCATCAGTAAAACATTAGTCTTTATGAAACACGCCCCATTATATTTAAGAATATATTTCACACCCATGTTATAATCATTATAAAGTATAAAAGTATTAAGTCTTCTGTACATTTATTGATTTTCCTTCCTAATGCATTAAATTTGCATGACACTTTGTATTATTTTAAAAGCATATAATAAGCGTGACAAATATTTTAATAGTACACCGAACTCAAAACGTATATTTAAATTCAATGCATTAAGAATGAAGTTGAACGTTTACTCAATTTTTATAGTAGTCAAAACATTAACGTTAAAGTTGTTTTCAAAGACGTTTGAGGTATGTATATGTATTGTGGCTGCGAAAACCGCTGTGAGAGTTCGAAAAGTGAGTTACAGAAACGCAAGGCACTAAGGAATCTTCGAAATAATTCAAGAGATATTCGACATACAATTAAGATTTCTTACGTATGCATTCGAAAACAATCTTCTGGTTACATTAATAAAACACTTGTTTTCAGTCCTGATAGAGGTCGAGAATGAGCCTCACCCTCGGGTAAGCGGTGGACCGCTAGACGGGACTTACGTGTTCAGTCAAATGCACTTCCATTGGGGTGACAATGATACTCTGGGTTCCGAGGACAAAATAAACCACAGAAGGTATTGTTTTACAGCAAATACAATAATTTATAATAAACAATTGTTAAGCAGAGTTTTTTTTTATGTAATAGGAGGCAAACGGGCAGGAGGCTTACCTGATGTTAAGTGATACCGCCGCCCATGGACTCTCACATTGCCAGAAGGCTCGCAAGTGGTTTGCCGGCTTTTCAAGAATTCGTACGCTCTTTTCTTGAAGGACCATAAGTCGAATTGGTTCGGAAATACTTCAATGGGCAGCTGGTTCCACATAGCAGTGGTGCGCGGCAAAAACTGCCTTAGATAAGTTGTGGAACGATTTTTTTTCAAATGAACATGAACTAGAACTATTATTTTTTTAAAATGAATGTTATAATTTTAATATTTGGAATGTAATAATAATCCAATGGCGCTACAAACTTATATACGGTTTTTGGCGAGAGTCTTGCATCTGATTCTTTAATAATTTTTATGGTATATTTTGTATTTAAGTGAAACTTAAATAACTTTACTAAAGAACGGGTGACTAGAAAACTATAATGCAGGTGTAACTAAAGGGTTATTGCCTCAATCGAAGGATTTCATTATTTGTTACGCTTTCCTTCACTTTGTACCGTTGCCCAATTTGCTGAATCATATTTTCATGTTTTTTAGTTTTCCTATGGAGTTGCATATGGTGTTCTACAAAGAAGAATATAATACAGTCAAAGAAGCTGTTACCCACACCGATGGCTTGACTGTCTTGGCATTTTTCTATGAGGTTGGTATTTTCCATTATTAAGTTAACGTGTTTTGGAATAGTGCGCAAAAACATTATCGTTCGAGAAGTAAAATATGATCATAATAATATACTACAAACCGTATAATTATGAGAATTGATTCTAGACTAGATAGAATAATAGATAATTACCCGATAATGTATATGACAAAAAAACATATTTTTATTTGTTATCTAATTGAATATCTACGGTTTTCTCAAGTTGGTCGCGAAATAGTTCACTGAATTATTTTTTTGCAAGAGACATCGCGAAATAGTTGTCTGTTATCTATTGAGTCTAAATTTTAAAGGTTTTTGCTTTAGGTATAAAAATGACTTTGGCAGGATTTGCATAAAATGCATATTTCTGAATTAATAATAGCTGTAGGATTAATTATTAAAATTAGTCCGACAGATATTTTCCTTGTTATTATATTTTAAATTAAATACTTATAATTGCGTTGCGCAATATTATTTATTCAGTAAACGGTTGCATTGATCGCATATCGGCGGTTCGTGTCTTGTCTGATCGATCCCAAGTATGTCACAAGACGTGCTTTTATAATATACAGTATTATTGAGAATTAGATAACATAACTTTATAAAACGAATGTCGGAGATATCTAAGTTTAAAATTTAAATATATATATTGTTATAAGACAAATAGGCTATTTTTTATATTTCGACAAAAAAAAAGTATCAATCGAAATTTTCGTTAATTAGTCTTATTGATTTTACTTTTAAGTAGTTTATATGTCGCTTATGGTACTTTAAAAATAAAACAAATTTTTAACAAAAACCAATTTCGTATTTTATTAGCGCGACAAGTACTAGTAAATTAAGATCGAAACTGCTCAACGAATTTTAAATTTTTGCCCAAATGATTCGTCCTTGAAATATCTAAATTCCAATAGAGCAATTAAAATTTGGTACCTATATATAAGATGGCTTGCGCATTCTATTAACAGCAAACTGTACCTATGGTTCTAGAAAAATGAAATACAGACGGTATTACGTAATAAAATATTACATTTTACAGTTGGACCGGCATCAGCATCCAGCCTATGACGACATAACATCCGCCCTCAGCAATGTTACCGATCCGCACTCAAGCATTGTTATGAATAACCCATTTTCATTTTTAAACATTCTACCTTACGACCTTAGAAGATATTTTACGTACAGAGGGTCATTGACAACTCCACCATGCTCTGAAGTAGTCATTTGGCTGGATTTTGAACAACCCGTCCGTTTAACTCACGATCAGGTATATACTAGATGCTAATATTATAAAAGAATTTGTTAGTCAATCATTTTTATGGTAGGAGAAGAAAGAAAGCGAAAATTAAAGAGAGGAAAGCTTTATGTTTAAATAAAGTTAGAATAATGGCTTGCTTAAGTTATATAAGCACAAATATTTGTAATAAGTAATACTGTACACACACCCGAGAATATATTACATAATTATGTAATTTGTGACGACAAAATCTCAAATAAAGAAATCCCACGTGTGACGTGAAAATGTTCATGTACACATAATACTGTAGGGATGTGACATTCTGCATAAAAAAACGATTTTTTCCGAATTTTTGAATTAATTTCAAAACAAACACCCTAAATATTTTATTTTTCATGGTTTTTTTTTAATTAAAAATAAACAATAGAAATTATAACTACAAATTAACGTTTAAGAATAATCAAAATCGAAATTAACTTAATCTCGTTTTGATAGATTTTAGGTGAAATTTGATAAATGCTGAGTGTATGCCTTTTCAGTAGCACATTGCAGTATTTTTGTTGTCTTTTTAAGTGTATGTAATCTTGTGCTGCTGAATAAATTTATTTTACTTTTAAATTATAGTGTTCCATTCAAACTTGAGTTTTTGTAAAATTAACTGGTTTTATCATCCTTTCGATGTTTTACAAAAAAACATCAATGCATCGAGTATATCAATACATCTTCAAAGAATCGGATTCAATGTATCGCATTGTAAACATCGATGTATATCGAATATCCCTAATAGTTCGAGGTCCGGGTTATAAAAGACCTGATATAATGTCGGGAGGTGGCAGATGAAAAATCGACTATGATTGATTTTCAATTATAAAAATAATCGATTATTTTAAATATAAAAATCGCGTAAAAAAATCGTTTTTTTTAATAATCGATTATTTTGTCACATCCCTACATAATACCTATAAACTCTGTATTATTTAAAATTTCAAAAGGAAGATTATTGTTTATACATATCATAGAATCACATACCAGTTAATACTAATAAGTATAGTAAAGGCGTTTTGATGTATCCATTTAAATATGATAAGCGTATTACTAAATGATAACTTTAGAATTATATATAGACGTTGCCTTAAAATATTTAAAATAATTGACCAGAGGCGAACTAAGCGTCTATGGGTGGGTCTAGGGCTCAGTTTGCGTGTTTTTCTTTGCTTCTTTTTTTGACACATGTCTATTAATGTGACTTTTATGTCGGTTTAGATAATCATTTTAAAATTCTTTCCAGATCGAAGTATTCAGAGAGCTACGATCGGCCAGTGGAAAAATTCGGCATAACTTCAGACCAATCCAACCGATCGGAGACAGAACTGTATTCTATAATATAGATAGCAATTATTATACTTATAATGAAATCGATGACCCTGGGGCTCACACTGAGTGGCCACAGACAAGGAAAAGAGGGAACAGTGCTAGTATATCTAGGTTTAGCTTAAGCTGTTTTACCTTTATGTTTATATTGTGTTATACCTTAGGTTAATTCGAATTATGCAAAGGAACTTATAGGAAGTGAGAATAAGAATCTACTGTATAGTTAGAACCATACACAAAACAAAATGTTTGCTTAGTCATGGTTTTATGTTGATTTCAACAAGCAATGCAGAATTAAAGAGAACAGCTGCACTATATATTTTTTTAAATTTGCTTGCTTTCTTTGCTGAAAAAAATGTGTTTCATCACTTGCCCCTACATGTGACTATGTCGACTTTCCTTTACACGTGACTATGTTTTAGTTAGAAAATTCAGTTCTTCAATATAAGGACACAAATATAAGGTATTTTAAGTTAGTTATAGTATAGAAGGTGAAATATAAGTTATTTTGGTATTTTTTTTAAATTATAACCATTTCTATTCCCTGGTATAGAGTGGTTAAACTAAGTAATACACAAGGATTACCTTGTGTATATGTAACAACAGTTGCGGAGCTATATATAGGTTCTACTATACAGATGAAAGGCTTTCAAATGAGGTTTCTAAAAACACCTTTGGGAAGCTAAAAAAAATTATAACTGTGATATCATATAAGTAAATAAAAGATTCAAAAAAAGTTTCGGTTTTTTAATATTTCAAATATAAATATGTATCAAAAATTTATACCTAATTCTCCCTAGTTCAATCATCTTGTGGAATTCTTGTATCTGTCATAGTAAGCATAGCTCCCAAATTGTCATCAGAGCCCTGCTTTAATCTCTCCCAAATTAATTCAGCAATAGCTTTTTGTGTTCTTCTCTCAAGCTTTTCCAACTTTTTTGCAACATCCCTTTTGAGGTCCCAATCTGGCTTCCGAGGTGCAAGTGATGCTATATCTAAATCTTGAAGAACAACCTGTAATTATACACTTATATCACATAAACTTGATAGTATGTAAAAATAAAGATTAAGATTTCATTTTGGTACATACATTTTATCATAATTATTTGTTGTGACAATGAAGGCTATGACCAAAACATTTAGAAAAAATGTTTAAAGAAAAACAACATTAGGAAACTGTTCTAGGTTCTAGAAAATTAATCTCAAATTGGAAAATTTTTTCCAATATTTAATTTCAACCAAAACCAAAGCTATTTAAAAAAAATTACCAGTGCAACAGATATATTAAACAGACTTAACTTCAATTTAAATGGAACACTTTTCCTTCAAAAATTTAATTTACCTTTTCCTTCCCAGCTTCAACTAAATCTTTAACTTCCTCATCAACCTTTTCTGGTTCAGCATCTTGTAACTTTGCTTGTTGCAATGACTCATCTTGTGGTTTATAACTTCTAAACATGGGCCTGAAATTGCATAAATAGAATCATTAGTTATTTAACCCTTAGTTAATCCAAAATCTTCCATACACATACTGGGAAGGGATATTAAAAAGTGTGAGGGTAACACAACTTGGTAGAAAAAAACTTTATGAATACATACTTAAAAAACATCTACAATTAGCAACAACTTGTTGACTTTAGGATTCCCAAATAGATATATTTTCCCAAACAGTTATATTTTCATAGGTTATTTAACTGATTAGTCGCGGTTTCTGTTGTCAATGAATGAAGAATATGGATCAAATTAGAAAATAGATCAAATGAAGGACAGCCTGTGTAATAGACAAATCTACAATAAAATTATAACATAATTGATAGCCATAAAATTACCTAGGAAGTGGAGAAGCATCTTTATTTTTTGAGTCGGATGATGAAGGTTATATTCGCGTTTTTACGTTTTAAATTTTTTAGCCTTTCTTTCCTTTTTTGTGCTTCCTCTTCCAGATTTCCAACTCCTTCCATAGTATCCAAAACTACCATAATATAGGCTAGTAACAAACAGTATAGGCTTTTGTTGTTACTGAGTATTTCATCATATACTCAACCAATCAGACAAAGCACGATAATTAGACTATTGATAAAAGTGTAATATAATTCAGAAATCTCAGTTATATCAACATTAATTTAGGTATCACTATTAAGTATTAGTAAATAATTTATAATACAAGCAACAACACTGAACACGTTCACAATTGACAATTGACATTTCGATTTTCACATCAATGAGAATAGAAGGGTGACTTGACTAAAATGTAAAGGTGAATGTGATCTTATGCACTCTGAATTTCAGCCCTATACCACAAAACAAATTTAAAAAAATGAATATTGTTTCCTTAACACATGTCGCAAGACATTTGTATTTATTCTTGTTTAGATTTATTGCCTTAACGAAAATAAATACAATTGAATTAACATAACCTAACCTAATAACTTGTAAATGGAGGAGAAAACGCAAAGCTAATTGCAGATGTCGCTATCATCGCTTGACTCATAACAATACGCTGTCAGTTTTCAGCAATTTTTACAAGTGAAAACTGCTGAATAATGTATTCGACATGGACTTTTCCATAATTAAAAGTATTGAAAACGCGGGGCGGTTATTTAAAAGGAAGAAAGGCAGATCTTGTCACGAAGTAATCACATTGGATATTTTTCAAAATTCATTGAAAAAATTTTATGAGGATAGGGTTGAAGAATTTTATCAATCATATGTTAAAAGAATTGAACAAATTTTATGTGGAATATTTTAAAAAGGCCCTACTTAATAAATATACTTATAAGGATTACTAAGAAACAATAAAACCCACTAATTACTTTGGACTTTTATTTTACAATTCCTTCTTTAAAATTACATAGCATAACACAATTGAATCCACAGTCAGCCATTATTGCATCTTTTTCATCAATAACAGCTAAAAGGTAACTTCTTTAAGTTATTTGACGGTCACTGGTAGAGTCTGCATATCCATCTGAACAAAACGATACGAGATGAACTGAACAAACGCCACCAGATGTAGCGCCCACCAATAATTTTATAGTGTTGCTACTAAATGTTGTTTGTTGCGCTGTAGGGTTTTTTGATTTTGATATGAGTATTTCTGTACCATCTATTATCAGCTGGATGATATTGCTTAAATAAATCAGGCATATAATAATCACACTGGTTGATGTGTGACTAGGCCAAATATCTATTTTTTCCATTAACAAAATTTACCCATGTAAAAAATATATTCCCAATAGCAGTAGTACTAATGCCAAAAAAATTTGCCATCTCAAAATCAAGTTTATTTCTTCTTAATTTAACTAACATCAAAAGAAATTGATCCATTCCACTGATGTCAATGACTTGGCTGACCCTATAACTATATTATTACGATACTTGCTGTGGTAGTGGGTTTCTTCCATGCGAAAACAGTTGGGATTGCAGTCTTTTTCAAATATCTATTGAACTTGAGGTAAACTTAAAATGAATGCATAATAATTAGTACTTATTACATACCTTGGTACCTATACCATATATGTACATCATAATTTATAAGTAGCTAATGCAAACCTGTGGAGGAGCTTACACCTTTATAATCGGATTCAATAAAATGTTCTGCTTCCGAACATAACCTCGAAGAGTTTATAGCTTTGAAATTACGTCTTTTTAGAGCTTTTTCCCCGAGTCATCTTATGCGTAAATCCTTAGGAAAACTGTGATGGCCTTTGTTATTACAACCCATTGCTGCGCAGCGAGGTATTTTTGGAGAAAAAAAATGTTTTATCTTGTGTTATAATAATAAAGTAGGAGATTTGACGATTGTTTGCATTTGTTATGGGTCAAGCGATACCAGCGCTACTAGTGGCAAAGTTTGGCAGTTTTCTCCTCCATTGTAATACTATCTTTAAATGTTTACTTTATTGAGATTGATATTATACGGGACGCGATACCAAATAAAACACCATATTTTTTGAAATAGTTTAGATTTCCCTGGTGACGCAGGGGTGTTATAAGTATTAAGTTTAGCGGGTCGATATATGTGTCTGTCTGTGGTGTCGCTCCTTAACAGATAAACCTTGAGGTTTTTGTAGTATCTTAAAAAGCTAACATGATGGACTTCTTAACAACCATTTATGAAGATTTTTCAGGCGTTTCAAGGTCATCAGCTCGTTATGTTAGCTGCGGCAGAAATCTGAAGTGCATAATAAGTATTTACTTATTTTTCAAATATATATTTGATCTAACATTTGGACGACCATGTATGCTTATATCATGGGCAGAAAGAAACCGTTATTATAACATCAATATTTCGTACACATTTTTGATATCATTTTTTTTTAATTAGTCTATTAGTACCGGGGCGTTCTTTAAGGAGGACAGTCATTCACCGTTGTCAAAGAGAATAGTATAGTCCTTTTCATGAAAGAAGTCCCGCGGAGATTTTTGGAACTTAATTTGACAGGTCGGCCATGTTGTCGTTAGTCGATGTTATCAAGTTCGTTTGTTGTGGTAGATTTTTGTGAGTTTTTAACTAGCTTAGTACATTTTAAAGATTGTTTACAATGCCAAAAGGGTAACAGTTTTGAATACCATCGCACTTTTTTGACGATACTAATTATTTAGGAGTCTCGGAGGACCTTCTTGGAACACCTCCAAGTAAGTTTTGCTCCGGAAACGCGTCAAAATTTTATAAAGATTTATAAAGTAAACTTTGCACTGTAAAACTAATTACCGCTAGTCTAGCATAAACCACATTCAAAATGGCCGATTAAGTTTATAAAATTAATAGGGATGTGAAAAATAATCGTTTTTTTAAAAGTGAAAATCGATTTTTGTATTCGATTTTAATATTAAAAATAATTGAAAATTCGGCGACCAAATATTTACTAACTCTAACCTAACCAATCTAAATAATATTTGTTTTTGTGGACAGCTCCGATCTAAATAGTAATTGTTTATTCAAGCCTCGGCTTCTCGGCGTCCTGGTCGCCTTCGGCGACCAAATATTCATATACTAACTCTAACCTAACCAATCTAAATAATATTTGTTTTTGTGGACAGCTCCGATCTAAATAGTAATTGTTTATTCAAGCCTCGGCTTCTCGGCGTCCTGGTCGCCTTCGGCGACCAAATATTCATATACTAACTCTAACCTAACCAATCTAAATAATTTTTTTTTTGTGGACAGCTCCGATCTAAATAGTAATTGTTTATTCAAGCCTCGGCTTCTCGGCGTCCTGGTCGCCTTCGGCGACCAAATATTCATATACTAACTCTAACCTAACCAATCTAAATAATATTTGTTTTTGTGGACAGCTCCGGCGCTACGGGAAATGCAGCCCCTCCACCCTTGCGTACCAAAGCACAGGCATTTTATTCAAGCCTCCGCAACCTCGGCTCCGCGCCTCCGATTATTTATATACACTCTAGGGGTAAGACAGACAAGACCACGTGGATAGTGGGGTGCTCTGATTCGGTTTTGGGTACTTTTTGGATATTAAAGTAAACACTTTATTCTAGTAAAAATTAAATAATATAGAAAGTTGCAAACAATGAAATACAAGTACTAATTAGAAAATACAGACGAGTAGGTTCGATAATTTCAAAAATTTCGGAACCCTATAATCTATCAACACGAAATTAGGTTAATTTCAATGTTGATTATTCTATAACTTTAAATTTCAAAAATGGGAAATAATCGATAAATAAATAAAACGATTATTAACAATCGATAAATTAAAAACACGATTTTTTTAAGTGAACGTCACATCACTTATAACCAATAGAAAAGTAGAAAATGGCGGATTGTTTACAAATTTTAATACATTACACAAAACTTTATTTTTTATAAAAATATTTAGACGCGTTTCCGGAGCAAAACTCACTTGGAGGTGTTCCAATGAAGGTCCCCCGGACACTCCTAGATAATTAGTATCGTCAAAAAGTGCGGTGGTATTTAACACCCAACCCATTAAAAAATATATTACATACATAGTTACATAAGCATTATAAACTAAAAGTTACTATTATTTTTAATTGTTCATTATTTAATTGCATGTAACAATTGCTGTAACAAGAATTACAAATGAAGGTATAACAGCGGCCAGTACTTTGAAATAAATTGTCACCCCGGTGAAGAGTATCAATATAAAAAAGAACAATTATATCTACGGCTAGTGATACTAAAACAGAATCTGATTCTGTTTCCATCCACTCTTCAGCCGCTGATTTAAAATTATTCAATAAAACTCTGAATAAAAAATTGTATTGCTTTTAATATGCTTTTATCCCTGTAAGTAGGTAGAACACCGCTTATATAAGTAAATAAAAATATACTTTTTACATTACAGAAATATTGTTTCATAGAAGTATGCAGAAATTGTCTTATTTGATTAAAATAGGTAAATTTTTAACTCATAAATGGCAACATTACGTCATGCGATTACAGCGCTGCGCCTGGGGGACTTCTTTCATGAAAAGGACTATACAGGGGCCTTAGTCAAGATGCCTTAACAGTAGTGTATGTAGAACGTCAAAAACTAAAATTGTATGAAAACTTTTCGAACAACCCAGAACAAGTAGAGATACTAATGCAACCACAGTCTACAACATGCTATAGCATAGCACAAACTAGAATACACGGTTCTACCAAACAAAGCACAGACTAACTACTAAGCTAGTTAACAAAGTTATTTTTTATTCAATTATAGAAAAGTTTAAAAGCCGACTTATTGTTGTAACAAAAAAGTTAAAAACATCAAAAACTAAATATTATTTATTTTCAAACTATATGTTTTGGTATGTTTGTTATATAGTTAAGTATTTCTAGTTTGTGGGTTGTCGCCATTTATAATTTAAATAGCTTTGTAGATAAACCTAATATTAAGAATTTAGTGATTCAGTGCAGTTTTTTTGCAGTTAAATAAAACATAGGACAGGTTTGTTTTTATAAGTTTTGTAATACTAATTAAAATAACATTTTTATTACATTATTTTATTAAAGACAAAGACAGGTTACAATATTTGTAGGTATATAATATGTAATCAAAACATATTCTGTCGGTCGCTGTTTTTAAATGCTTATAATATGTAGCTTTATTGATATAATATATCATTAGCTTTATCTTGAATTGTAAAAAATAATCAACCTATGGCAAATGACAAATTCATTCTTAAGTACAAAATAAATATTACGATTAAGTAGTATGTAGCAATTTTTAGTCTATCTTAAAAATAATCTGTAATACAGTGCAGACGACTTATTTTATCTTTATCTAATAATCAGAAAAGAGAATATTAATTTAAAGAGTATAAACATAAGTTTAAAAAAAAATGGAAATGTGTAATGGGCTTTTTTAGTCTCCATTTGTCTCAATTTCTTTATTAATCTATAAATCGATAAAATTTCTATAACCTACGCTTTACAACTAATACTAAGATTACGAGTTTCCTTAAGCAGAAAATAAATTCATTCGCTGTAATAATTAAATATAAGATTTAAGTGAGGTGTAATATATTTTCTGTAATACCAGATTCTAAATAATTTTTTCATTCGAACTTGAAGACTATCAAGCCTAAACCCACTATCTTTCTAAAATCTAGGCATTCTGAGGTAAAATATGTTTGTATTATTTACAACCTAGATAATAGTCAAATATTTTTTGTATTTTGCCCCTCTAACGCTCGCGTATCTCTTTCATACATTCATTGCGTTTGAAACGGTCGTACATGTCGTCTACTATCAAAATTTAACCTGTTGGATACATTTACTGGTACACCGTGATTTAGAGATAAAACCTTAGTTACAATATTTAGGTCTTCGTGCGCTCTACCATTCAAACCAGTTTGGACTAATAATTGTTTTAATTCAGCATCTGGACTAAATTGGTTCTGCTGATTTATGGGGAAGAATCCATTTGTATGAACCGGACTGAATGTATTAAATCTATTGTAGTTTAGATTATTAATTCCGAAATTACCTACACCGCTTTCATGTCGGAAGACACGATTTCCCTGTTTCCCCTGATTAAAATTTTGATTCTGAGCAAAGTTTTGGTTTGGTTGTAAGAAACTGCTTATTCCTTGTGGAAGGTGATTGTTTTGTAAAGGAAATTGTTCCGATTGTTGGCTACGTAGATGAATGAGAAAATCTATAGCCTCTTTGTTAGGTAATGCTTGATTAGCTAACGTATTGCTCTGTGATATGGCTACACTTGGTTGAATAGTTATTTGAGAATTAGGAGGCTGAATTCCGGTTGGATTTAAAAGTTGCTGAACATTTTTCTGTTGTGCATTTTGCTGTTCCACTTGTTGCCTTTTGAATTGTTCCTGCTCAAATTGAAGAAGTTGTTGTCTTTGCGCTTCTTTTTGCTGGAGAAGAAATTGCTGTTTACGTAATAACTGTTCTTGTTGTATCTGCTGTATCTGTAATAGTCTGAGCTGTTCTTCTAAAAATCTTTGTTTTTCTTCGAGTTGCTTTTGTAAAGTTAGTTGCTGTGAGATGTAGTCTGATTGGGAGATTTTAGGGATCCCGTTGTTATTTGATACATCTTGTTGGGGATTTGAATCTAAGGGTTTCAAACCATCCTGATTTGTTGTTTGTTGATATATAGGAATAACTTTTTTGGGAATGCCATGCGCGTCTTGATGAACTGTAAAAGCTGCGACGAGTGGTGCCTGATAGACTTGAACGTCGCGTTTATCTACCTCTTCAATATTTGTACCATCCTTATCATGGGTTGGTTTGGGCGTAGTCGTTGTAGTTGTTGTTGTGGAGGTAGTTGAAGTTGTTGATATCAAGCGTGGTTTTGATGTGCTTATTTTGTTTGCTTGACTGCTTCCAAAACTTGATTTTGATGTGATGCTTCTGATTTGCTGAACATTTACTCCCGACTCTTTGGCTTGAAATATCTCTTTGAAAGGTGTTTGTGTTGGAAGTGTTGCAGTTATATAGTTTTCTACATTACCTACTGTTGTACTAAGTATAGATATCTTGTTGTCTAACAATGTCGGTGAGGCATTTGTGTTATTTCTAAAAGCTTCTTGGCCGTTTACGACAAATGAGTGAATCTGTATATTTTCTTTTGGCTTCCGTACTCCAAAATTATTTTCACTTGTGCTCAGAGTTTCAGAACTTGTAGATGAAGCATCTGTCGATTCTGGGTCTGATACTGTTCCGCTCTCTTCAAGATCGCTTAGCGCTTTCAGTAAAGCTTTCCGAATATATGGATCCAACCGTACAGATGGATTTGGTTCCACGCTATTTAATTTATCATTAAAGCCATCGGTAGTGTAAGATTCTTGAGCTGCACTTAATACCAGTATGATTGATAACAATAGTATCTGCAAAAAAGAAAAAAAAACGTTTTATTTTGTATATTGAGCACAGACACAAAATATGAATATTTAAATCAATATAGAACAAAGCTATTCATATAATTTAAATAATTAAAACCTAAAAGAACATGTAAAACTGCATAACTTAGGTATGTCAGTGTTCTTACATAAGATACGTATGAATCATATTATTAAGGTCATAGTAGTACATGTCACAAGTGATCTTAGCCGATCGCATCCAACGCAGTACAAGTTATTCGACAAGTCTTCAATTACCAAACAATATGACCCAACGCTTTCTCTACTTTAAATCACGAACTTTTAAACAAGTGTCATAATCGATACCAAATTGAAAATAGGATATCAGAGTTGGCATATAAAATAATTAGTCGTTGTTTTATAAGATTGAAAAATTTTAAACCAAGAACTCCACAGTTTGATATACTCAGCTACTAGGTAAGTATTTACATTTTATCTACACGTTTTATGTAAAAATACAAACTTATTTTTGTTCGAATTTTCATTCATGCTGTATGTTTATTTTTCTTATTAGAATGATAATAATAATTTACAAACGTATGCTGCAAATATTGGCACAGTATTGTAGTAACTATTTAAATTAATGTTAAATGAAAATAACGTAATTTGTCCTTCGTTTGTTACATATTTTACGAAATCTCACTTTTACGTAATTTATTCCCAGAATTTTGACAGACGATGTGGTACCTTATCAAAATCTTATGTTTATACTATATTTTTTACTGTATTATATTTTTTTTGCTTATTATTCATTAAGCGTGACTTTATACAAACATTTTCTAAAATGTAGCGGATTTTAAAAGCTCAATTAGCGGCCATATTCTCACAGCTTTGTCATCACAAAAATGTCAATACAATTTGAATAAAATTGACCTCATCTCAGCAATACGTTTAAGGTCCCATAGTTCACACAAACACAATCATTCGTCACATTGTGCACGTATTACTTACAAGTTACGAGTGACTTCGGCATTTATCTGTATACAATGGTACGTAATTACATAATGGTAATGTCAACAATAAGAAATTTCTCTTTCAATAACTAGTATACGAAGATTACTTTAGTTACGTATCTTACACACTTCACTGAAGATTATAGTACTTAAAGATAGAATAGGTTGAGCAAAGGGTTTACTCATCCAATAGTTGTTGAAACTAAAATAATATTCTAAAAGGTGTATGCGAGCTATAAATTTCAGATTTACGGCATACAATTAAATGTATATTTTATATCTTTACTAGCTGAGCCGATGAACTTCGTACCGCCAAATAAATGTTGTGTTACTGAATTAGCTGAATTTAATTTATAAATTTATAAAAGTAATACAAAGAGTACAAAATAAATATTACATGCACTACGTTATTAAGAAATTAACATAAAAAGGAATAAGAGTCTGAACGCAAGCATAAATATATGTCATACTTTTTTCATTACTGATATTAATCTACATTTTCAAATATAAAATACGCCATTATCTGTATGTGGCCAATCTTGTCGATTCGAAACTTATATTTAAATACGTTCATGGATTTGAGGGGAGACCTTACCGTATCGACGGGATTGACAATAAATGTTTGACAGTTAGGAAACCCATGAACATTATGCATTTTTTCTTTTAACTTTTCAAAAAATTTCCTGACAAGAAATCAAAAACCATGAAAATCATTCCGACTATTCTCGAGTTACAGTTCCAACAAACCCAACTTTTTAAGTTTATTTAATTAAGTTTACAAAGTTGCATATGAGGGTTAAATTTCTGTCTAAGCACCGACTCTTTAAATGTTGTTATGAATTTAGCATGATCAAATATACTTTAATAATTGTTAATTAAATTAATTAAGAGTTTTGATCGATCGATTTCAAGCAATTCTTTTCCCATAAATCATCTTTGTCACTGCAGTCGAGCCGATGGTGATGACTGGTGGCATTTAGTAGAATCTTCGTCATTGCGTAAATGATTATACAATGAAGTGCGTAATACACGAAAGAGAGGTCATCAGATTCATTAATTATATTAAAATCTTCATTAATTTTAGTTAAAACGCATCAAAATCAGATTGTTCGTGTCTAAAAAGGCTGTGATTAACCTCTATTAAGATTGAGATCGTAATTTCATAACTGAACTAAGTAGATACTTCAGTGAGCACGCTTAACAATAATTAATTATGGCCGTAGCTTTCTCCGAATTATTTAATTTATCTATGTCAAATCTTATACATACAATATCATTATATGGTAATGAAGACTACTGGTGTACCACCCATAATTGGTTAATAATTTTATACCATTCTTTCTTGTTGACCAATAAATTAACATATATAAATACAATAATTTGAAGTTAAGATATATGTAATTGTTGTGGCTTCAACTAACTGAGAGGTCCTGAGGTTCGACTCCCGATATTTATTTTTATATTTAATTTTGAATTGTACAGAAAATATCTATTCTTTGGGTCGCGAGATGTGTGCGAAATTGGAACGACATCAAAACCGTTACAAACAGCTCAAAATGATGCATTTTTGAAAGGAACAATCAAGACAAATTTAAATATGCACTTGGAGCGAATAATTTGGCTTTCAAGTAACATAATGTATAGAAGAGGTTATATTAACTCATACATAACTCTCAGCTTAGTCTTGGTAACTATGTAATGAAATTATAATACCAAAACATAACTTGATGAAAAAGCACTTCAAAACTATTAAAAGCTATATATAATTTTTAATAATGATTTATTAAAATGTACGGACCCCAAATTTTTCCCTTTTTTTTTTTTTTTTTTTTTTTAGTTAGCCAGGGCCCCCTTAAAAAAAAAAAAACCCGGGGGGGGGAAAACTTTTTTTTTTTTTCCTTTATAATAAAAAAAATTTTTTCCCCTTTTTTAAAATTTTTTTTTGAAAAAAAAAAAAAAACCCTTTTTTCCCCTTTTCCACCTTACAGCCACTTTCCCTAAAGACATATAATATTAGTATTAAAAAGAACAAATTCGCTAAAAGACTATCAGTTCCTTAAAAAGTTTTAAAACAATAACAAATACGCTGGAAATGGCAGAATTTTTGGTTCATTTACTAGCCTTAATTTACGCATACATACGTTAAATATTAAAAGTGTTGTACCGTTTTAGATTCATGTTAAATTTACAAAAAAATGCTAGATCTACTTGATACCATTCTTATATGATGAGAAAACAAATTAGGTAATGTTCTACAAAACACAAAGCTCTCTGCATTATAAGTTTAGATACGCTTAGAAACATTGCATTTGCGTCACCTCATTAGCCTGTAATACTATAATCTTGTTTCTGAACGCATTGTTTTCGGCTTAATAAGTAATATTTTATTACACCAGCTTATTGCGCCGTTACAGTGTAACATTTTTATTGCTCTACATGACGAATTAATAATCACTCTAATATAATCGTAAATTACAGTGCCACAATAATAAAATAAACGTGGTTTAAGAAAAGATAAAATCGTAACCAACTTTTTATTGTTTTTAAAAGAGTACCGAGAGTTTTTACGCCGGCTTTGTCTCTTGGCCTACACCCTCTGTCTTCTTTGCCGATGAGTAGGAATGTCTACCTATTCAAATTTAATGACGTGGAATAATTGATACCTGTATCTTATATTCCATAATATAAATTTTTTTTCCTAATCTCATATCAACACTATTTTAAATAGTTTTCAGTATACGAAAGATATATTGAAAAACTAGCATTGGCATGTGTTAAGTTATGTTTTAGACGGCTTTGTGTTTTTAAGTAAATTTTCGTTGTCCAACCTTGAATTTCGTATAGGAAACCCTACTTACTTGGGTAGGCGTATGCCCACTTATATATACTGGGGCTTTTTTTATCAAAGCACAAACGTTATTTCAAATGTATTCGGAAACCTGTACCAATCATGTTATTACCATCCATTTCAAGTGTATTTGGAAATTTACCAAGAACAACTTTATATTAAATATATCAATGTAGTCAAAAGTGACCTTACTTTTATGACTATCATTTAAAAGGCTCCACGTAATGATAAAGATTCTCACTTGCCAGTTGATTATTACTGGTATTAGCTAAGATACCCTAGAGCGAGCAAACTATTAAACATAGTTCTCACGATTGTTATAAACCGTTATACAGTATCATTAAAATCTATTAAAAGTTTGATCTTTGAGAATATGTGTGTAGCTATTTAAGTGATGAAGTGGTTTTGTGTGTAGTACTTCCAATTTAACCCACTTCTTGGCGGTAGGTTTGATGTCGTAACTTTCTATAAAAGGACTAGATATTTTACTGTCAACTGTCAATGGTCAATAGAGAAATCTCGAAATGATGACCTATTGTACTCTATACTTGTTTTATACCCATAGAAACATAGAATAAAAATAAGAGGTATTAATACAGAAACATCAGCGAGTTCATTAAAAAGCATTCAGCATGTACCAAGCTCAGTGTTCATAGTTTTGACATCTACACTATTATTACAAAGGCAATATATTTACTTATCCTAATGGAAAATATCAGCGAGCAAGATTGCATTTTTTTTATAACCTTCGACTTATCGAAGATATGTGTATGAGTATATAAGTGTTGTTTTTGGATTCGAAAACCATTATAATAAAATTAGTTGTTATAGAATTGTTGTTGTGTCCATGGACAAAAAGTACGAATTATTTTTATTAAATTAGAGTAGCCGAAAGGAGCTTGGATATGTTTCTACATGAAGTGTTTTAATAGATTACGTAGGCATGAGTTGTTTAAGTTTCAATTCAGGAAGAACATGTAATCTCTAACAATAGTTAAACACTAATTGTTTAAACTCATTGATTCGTTTAAATTAAGGATGATATATCGTGAGAAATGTGATGATCAAAATTATTTATCTAGCTGCTTTCACTGTCTCACGACTAGACATAAATGCATTATTTTTTATAATACATGCTTGTTTTGTTAGATTCAATGTTTTTTAAGTTTTGCAATAAATATTGCTTGATAATGCAGCTTCTTTCTTTTAGCGAAGCTTTACATATTGCCATCAAAGTTTTCAGAGTCTACAAATGCCAGTAGATATTTTTCCCAACCATTACGAGCAAGAGGCATTCAAGAAAAGACCGTACCACTCCCTCAACACACCCGCAAGACCCCCAGCGTTAGCACTATTCAAAGCGACAGCAAGCTCGTTTACTTTAACTACTAGTCACTACGTAAATACATAATTTCATTTATGTAAGCGATGCGTCTATTGCGTTTTAGATAAAGAGGATTAATATATAATATGATTTTGAATTTTCACTAACCATGTAGCAACTGGTTGACAAAACTGTATACGTTGGTCAATTAATAAAAATTAAATATAATTGAAATTGTAAGTAAAATTTAAACTAAGGACAAAAGAACTGAATTTAAGCAAGTCATGGGGGCAATTATTTATATAAATCTAAACATGTACTCTCATAATTTACTGTCACGATGACTATTAGTAATTCTCTTAATTAAGCCCAATCGTCCTTTTAAGGCAGCAATAATTACTCCACAATAAAAGAGTTTGACGATAATTATATGGTCTCAAACGCACTGCATAAGCAATAAATGCCAATGAAAATACACCGACATTTTTGACGGGCTTAATATAGATAATATTACTCTTAATGACTATCTTACAATAATCGGTTATTACCTATCGTAACACCATTAATATAAATAAAACACACGAATGCCCATCGTCTGAAGATGAGTTCTATCATCATTCTTACATTTATCATATTTAAGTTTCTTGCGTAATCATCAATTTGTTGATAGTTTTAACATGTTCGTTATTCCACTTCCTCGAGAGAGTGTCGTAACGGAATAAATTTGCGATTTACCATATTAATGAATGGTTTATAGATCTTCTAAGTAGTTTTTATAACCTGTTTAGTTCAAGATTGAAATATTTTCTCATTTAATATTCCTAATAACGTTATTATGCAATTCGTCATATGGTTATTAATTACTAGAAGTTTTAATTGCACCTATGGCGTAACTATTTGGGTACCTGGGAACATGAGGATCAAATACGATCTAGTATTTTCTCTTATAGTCTCTTGTCCTCTCTATTTGCTCTTTTTTACTTGTATATGTAAGATTTCATCAAGTTATAATAATATCGTTTTACATGTTCGACGCGGCAAATTTTTAATTTGTTGAGCATTAAATTAAATTCTTACCAATTATTTCCCGTTTTATTAAAAACATTGATAATCTAATTCAGTTTATAAGTTATCTTATTAAGGCATAATAAATAACAAGTAATTTTATTGTTACACCATTTTTCTTTGAGAGCCATATGTGGCTCTCAGTTTTTGGCATTGCTTGGAAAAAATATGAGTATTTAGTTCTTCATTATAGCCGAATAAAACTTTGCGTTCGTTGTTACTACTATATATACATATTGGAAATGATCAAGCTATTACTTAAAGCATTTAAACTACAAAATAGTGGCCTAGTAATTTTAAACAACTTATTAAATCAAAATATAAAGTAGATGATAAGTAGAGTGGTCAAATTCCCCAAATTAAAATTAAAACTTATAAGCCAAGTATGATTAATTTGTATTTTGTACCAATACTATTA